TTTGTTTACTGGTGATCTGAGCAAATTTGATCACCTTTAATTTATCTATAACTTTTTAGGTGGACTGTGTAATTTATACTTGTGGACATATGTCAATGTGTTTCGAGTGTGCCAATGAAGCTTGGCGTTTAAATGGTGAGTGCCCAATCTGCCGGAAAAGAATTGATGATGTCATAAAAATCTACAAATCCTAGTGAAGATTTAGACTAATAGTGTCTGTTCTGTTAAACAATGCGCAGATTTGCTAAACTCTGATTCATATATTTGTAGTTCCATTTCAAATTTATTGCGCTCAAGGTTTGTTGTCATTAGTGTGCGAAGGTTTCAAAAAAGTTTAGGTGTATGGCATCGGGATTCTAGGCTTTGCGAAATATGGTGGTGCTAGGAAGTAAGTAATCTTCTTTACCTCTGTAGTACAGTTGAGATTAGCTGTTTTTCGAGTCTTTTTAATTCCACTTTTTTAATCTTATGATATGTAATCAAGTATCATATACCATATTTTGGCTTATTTTTCTCGCATTTATTGCTTGTCTAGTCATTAAAATCCCTTTTTTTTAATTATTAGCCTTAATTTTACTCGTGTTTTTATTTGTTTTGTGGGAAAGAGAATCACTATCTTTCCATCAAAATTTTGTTCTTTGTACTGACGATCTCTTCAAGTTTCACAAATAGTTTGTTTTCTGCTGGAAACTTGTGCCAAGTCGTGCGTTGGTAATACGATTAATTACTATGTCAGCCGAGAAATATTATACGTAGTTTGTATAAATATCCTGCCTCTGTTTTGTTTCCTATCATTAGTTTATTATATATAAGGTTTCACTATGTGGTTGTATGAGTCATTCTTTTAAAAATGCATTGACGGCATAATTGGATAACAATAATAATCTTTTCTCAACGGTCGGGAAACTTGAGTTATTTATCTCATTTCTTTTTGGTCCACAACCTTTCTCATTTTCGAAATAACTTTTTTGAGCTCTTAGTTTGTGCATAATTCCTGTTTTTTTG